TTAGCACAAGTCACAAGAATTTCTGCGTTCACCCTATTAGAGAGAATGCCATGAGCTATCGTTTCAAAAATAAGTTGATGTTTTCATGAGTCGTCTGTTTGAAGACAAACAAAATAAAATATCTTGGAAGCTTTCTAAGAAAAACGGTAGATATGTATTTCTTCACACCGCAAGATGCAGTTTTTCCAACTGATCCGGTTAATAATCCGAAAAAAGCGAACACGAAAACTGCAGTTCACCGGTAACAAAACTAAAGACACCAACATTCTGCCTTCGACACCAATACGGAAACCAGAAGTCAGACTGCATTAAAGACTTTGACTTCAATACGCAAAAAACTTTCACCACTATAGGACTCCCTTGACTTGATGACTCTGAGTTCGACAGAACATAAGATCTCATGACATTACTAACTTCCTAGCACTGGCTTTGAGAGACATGAAGACTTGAAATCTTTAACTGACTTCATGACGATAGCTTTGAGAGATGTCAAGACTCTAACAAACAAGACTGATTTTACGACTCTTAGTCAAAAAAACATACAAACTCGATGACTAAGACTGACTTTGTGATTATGACTTTCATATACAGAAAGAAAGCAGGACTAAGACTAACTTTTTCACTCAGTCTTTCGCACGAAGACATAAAGACTATAGCAATAAGACTGACAGAACGACATCTATTTTCCGAGACATGAAGACTCCAGAATTCAGACGAAATAAATGACATTCTATTTAGAAGATGTCGAACTTCCACTAATTTAGGGGGCTTCATGACCGTGAATCTGAACAACGAGAACACTGGAGGGATCTCATTAAGTTCATCTCTCCGTCTTTCAAAAGATTTACCATTTTGACTCACATCATGTTTAACTCCTAGACAGATTTCAAAATATTAGGACTACAACGGACAATATGACTCTGGAAATAACATTCGTCTACACTACGACACTATCACCAGTTCCATGACACTCACTTTAACAGACATGAACAATCAAGAACTTTGACGAAATTCATGAGTTTACATTAAGGAGCTATTCCACTCTATTTATACTACGGCCACATCTTCACAAATATCAAACTCAAATCGACATGTAGGAGTCAAATTACGAAGTTACAATCACTCGACACATATAGATTACCGACTTACACCAACACGATGCTATAAGGGGTTACAATAACGGGATACAATAACGCATTAGATATAGAATAAGGAGCCAAATAAAGGGGATATATGTATTCCACAGAATCAGCGGACAGATATACATTAAGCACTTAGATTACGCGCTACAATGAGGCAATAGAATAAGGGCTAAGAATAAGCGGAAAGATATACATTAAGGGCATAGATCAGGGATTAGCATAAGCGGTTAGATTAAGGAGTTAGATTGACAGAATAGAATCAGCGGTCAGATTTAGGGATAGAATAAGGGTTAGATTAAAGGATACAATAAGGGGTTAGATTAAAGGGATAGAATAAGGGGATAGATTCAAGGGCTAGAATAAGAGTTAGATTAAGGGATAGAATAAGACGTTAGATTAAGGTGATAGATTAAGGTGTTAGAATAAGGGGTTAGGTTAAAGGGTTAGAATAAAGGGATAGATTAAGGATAGAATAAGGGGATAGAATAATGGTTAGATTAAGGGATAAAATAAGGGGATAGATTAAGGGGATACAATAAGGGGATAGAATAAGAGGATAGAATAAGGGGTTAAACAAGGGGTTGGATTAAGGTTATAGATTAAGGGGATAGGATAAGGTGATATATATAGATTAAGGAGTTAGAATAAGGGGTGAGATTAAGGGGTTAGATTAAGGAATAGAATAAGGGGATAGAATAAGGGTTAGATTTAGGGGATAGAATAAGGAGATATGTATAGTTTAAGGAGTTAGAATAAGAGTTTAGAATAAGGGGTTAGATTAAAAGCATAGAATAAAGGGATAGAATAAGAGTTAGATTAAGGGATAGATTAAGGAATAGAATAAGGGTTGGATTAAGGGATAGAATAAGGGGATATATATAGATTAAGGAATTAGAATAAGGGGTCAGATTAAACGGATAGAATAAGGGGATAGATTAAGGATTAGATTAAGGGGTTAGATTAAGGGGATAGAATAAGGGGTTAGAATAAGGGGATAGAATAAAGGGTTAGATTAAAGGGATAGGATAAGGGGATAGATTAAGGGGACAGAATAAGCGGATATATATAGATTAATGAGATAGAATAAGGGGATAGATTAAGGTCATAGATTAAGGAGATAGAATAAGGGGTTAGATTAAGGTGATAGATTCAGGAGATATATATAGATTAAGGGATTAGAATAAGGAGTTAGATTAAGGTGATAGATTAAGGAGATAGAATAAGGGGCTATATATAGATTAAGGAGTTAGAATAAGGGGTTAGATTAATGGGATAGATATAGATTAAAGTGTTAGAATAAGGCGGGAGATATAGGTCAGTGAATCGTTTTGTAAGTAGCTGTGGAAAACCTATACAAGATTTTCCAAGTCTCGGAAACCTCAACTGGGTTTCTGGGCCCTGAGGTTTTTTGATTGCGTTGAAGCGTTTCCGAGAGCTCGGAAACCCTTTCCAGGAAACCTATAAAGGGTTTCATATAGTGACAAACCCGGAAACCCTCTATAGGTTTCCAAGAGTACCTTTTTTTTTTAGAGTGTAGCGCGTTGTGTACGTCTCTTACGTGTGTAACGACGAGTTTGATAAAATACACTGGTTGACAATATACATTTGCATCATATAATTAAGAGTAGTTTTTAATATTGATTGTTGTAATAGACATGCAAATTCATAGAACTATCTCTATTATCATCATATGTCTTTTTAATTTAAAAAAAAACAAATGAAAAAAATGAGAACAATCATGCAATAGTGATTAATATGAAAGAAATGATTTTACATAAGAAAATGTATGTAAAAAATAGGTTAACGTATAAGAATTTTATTCCTAATTATGGTTAAAATGAAAATTATAAATTCACGTCAGTAATCAAAATAGTTTTCGTATTTAAGACTAAGAATATAGTTCAAGTTAATTCAACAAAATAGTAAAAACTGTTGCAATAATCGAACGATGAATATTCAGGAAATTTATGACGATTGAGAACGGTTTTTTGGAAGCTTGATAACAGATACTTCAGTAAAAACTTTGATTTTGTTACTTGCCGAAAACGTATCAGGCTTAGGGTGAGTTACGATTGGTTGTACTTTGAAAGTTGACCTTCTCAACATCTGGACGTTAATACTATTAATGCCTAATGATCGTGATCGTTGATTGATAGATGAATTAAGATAATTGCTTTTCGGTTGTCTATTATTGATATGCATGACTTCAACATTACCACTTTTAGTGGTTGAAGGAATCTTAAAGTTTTGTGGATTTTTCTCGCGATCGTGCAATTTACCATCGATACTTTTGTTTAATTGAGTTCCAGCAGTGTTCCTGCGCGGTAATTTAGTGACTGTAACATTAGTACTTGTGAATGTTGATATTGATGCAACTCGTAACTCTTGTAGAGGAATAGCTTCGGTATTGGTTTCTTGTTTGATACATTTGTTACGTATTGAACCTTCACTGTGGAAGGCTGAGTAGCTCGTGTGACGTTATTCATATCCTCGATTGTTTGTTCTTTTGGTGCATTTTTAACATCAAGTGGATATTGAGTATTACTTTTTCGTACCATACTGACATGATCTGCATTCTTTAGAGGAGTAGTTGTTGTTCGCATGTTTTCATTTATTTTTGTTAGTGAGAACGAAGTTTTTGGTCTGTCATTATCATTGAGTATATGATAGACATGATAGTTTTTATTTGGTTTACTTATGTGGAAGCTTCGATCAAGTTCTGGCAAGGCATATGTCAATTCTTGCGTACTTGATAGTAGATGTTGGTATTGTTGTGTACCATCGTCTCTTTTCTTTCGTGGACGATGTCGTGCAGCAGGTATCCTATGAATAGATAAGATGTATGTTGAATATGATCTAGTGTCCTGTTGAATATTTTTGTTTTTTTTTTATTTCAGGCAAGACTTACCAAAGAAAACGATTTAAACAACAACAACAGCAACATATAGCCAGCAGTAGAACCAATAATGACAATCTCAAAATCAGTAGCTAATTTATAGAATTTCCTATTTGACAAATGGTAATTTATATACGGATTTAATGTCTCAGAAAAGATTAAATGAACATGTCATTTTTGTTGAAAAATAACAAAATGACAAGAGCCGAGTTTTCGCAAAGAAGACTGATATCTAAATTGAACTTGTCTTCAATTGTTGAAAACTTCAAATTCATAAGGATTTGTTCTATTGTCTTAATCCAGTATAGCTTTTAATTCTTTCGAACTCATGTGTACAAGTCAAGCTAATTCATTAGATCAGAGGAGCTTCAATAGACAAAAGGATAAACGTTTTGTACTTTAGCAATCCTGAAAGTTTTCGGTGATCGGAAGATGATCATAACACATGTTTAGATTTCATGCAAATAGTTGACACATGTTCATAGGCCCTACTTGGATGTTTGGTCGTTGTTACTGTAATCCTATAATATAAAATTAAACAGTTTCATTTCATCTTTTTAGAACGACAAAACAAACGAATATGAACTCTCCAACTGATATCAATTATTTCTGTAATTCCATTCAAATCCAGACCTTTGAAACGAACTTTTGAGATTTTCACAAAATTGTGCAATGTGTGCGTGTACGTTTCTACATGCAATAATTATTGAAAACTTGAAAAGTGATTGAGAATGCTTATTATTAAATCGACTTTCTCATTACATTGAAATGTTTTCAGTTACTACTTACGTCGTTGTGGTAGATTTAGTGGTAGTTGTAGTCGTTGTTGTTGGTGTTGGTGCACAAAGCGCAAGCGATGTTACTACATTGAATGTGATGAAATACTCTGCTGATTGTGCATGTTCTCTAGTTAACCGAATAAAGACATGATACATAGGACACAGAGTAGCAAAACAAAAACTTTACTCAGTAAAGCCAATCATGCACAATTCTTGTAATCCAATTTGATTAGTTTGCGGTGTCCAGGTGAAATGTACATAGGATAATGATGAATTTGACGCTGATTTCATCAGATTTCCAACTCCCATAGCATATATTCCACTTGTGATGACGAATTCTGCAATATCAACATCATTTGGATCACATATGGTCATCGCATAGATACTAAAGCTCTTCGGAATACCAATAAGAACTTCCGTACTATCCACAAATGACATAATAACGGGTGATTTCTGACAGAATGGCTGTGGCATAACATAAATTAAAAATTGAACTGGTACGGATCTCATTGGAGTATTACTTGATTCATTGATAAAATCTTCTACCTACATATGTAATCGAAAAGAATTTAGTTGACCTTGAAATATCAAATTCTTAAAAAGAAAGTAATTAATGATTTTTTTATTTTTCAATTCAGAGAAACTTCTGCTTTGCAACTCCCATGTGAGTCTAATTGAATGATTCGTCAGTCAATTCGATCAACGTTCTAAACTCTTTTACGTCGCTTGTTTCATTATAAATAATAGTTCATGAAAGATTTGCTATGTCCAATTATGTAGAAAATTCTTGTAGATATGCTACAACACCTTCTAGAGCGATCGTCGAATTTTAATTTCTTTGGATCAAGTGTAATGTAGTATCGAATAATACAGTTTGAAATTCAGATAAAGATATATTTAAAAAGGAATGTCCATAGACAAGGTGCTTCTTCTCTTATAATCAATTTCGAGTTAGCAACATTCAAACCTCATGATAATTTTTCAGGATATGTTCGGGATGTGATAGAAAGTATATGATAAACTTTTCAGGCCAATATCATCTTGTTTTCATGTGATATTCATCAACTTAGGATTAAAAAATAGTTAAATTAGCAACGCAAAACTCTTCGGGTGCTTTCATTGTAGATATTTAATACTTTCTGTCTTTGAAACAGTATGTCAGGCAACAAAGACTGCAAGAAGTGTTTCTTTTAAATTCTTACGTTTTTGTTGAAGACAAAGAGCGATAAGTCCAATGCCACCAAAAAAAGTCTCAGAAAATGGTTAAAAGATGTTAATTTCTTAAGAATTTTTCATGGTACTGGACTTGGCACCGTTAGCTTTCAAGAAAAAAGGAAGAATATTAAAAAAGAGGCTTCTTTCAAATTCTGTAGTGTGACGTGCTCTTTCAAAGAAAAGAAAAATAAAATATTCAGAATGAGACACACCAACGATTTTAGGTTGCCAAATTTGAACTATTTTTGTGAACATTCTTTGATGAATGTCTCAGGAAAACATCATTGTATCGACCTCACAATTTCATCATATTCTGACTACTACACCTACAATGTATCTTCAAATGGACATGCGATTTGAAGGATTCTAGTTCAAAACTGATTTTGAGCTGAAGCGTCTCATTTATACATCCCATTTCAAATAATAAAAAAAGAATTTCTGACTCGATAGAGGTTCTGAAGAATTTGTCGGTTGGGACAAGGTTTCAAAATAATGACTGGCTCATTTACGATGAAGCAATGATTTCCATGTTGAATATTCATAGATTGAACTAGTTTTTGAAATGAGTTAAGTTTTGCTTTTAAATAATTGGCTTACTTGAACAGCAACTGCATACCAAGTATCAGGCACCAGTCCTATGAACGACAGAGTACAATTGGACAACGTCGCACCATTTGGTAAACTGTTTGGATAATAAATCCCACCACATTCATCAATGGCTTGTCGGCTGCCATACGATAGTGTTGATGCTATTGCTCCGGGAGTCTCTATAGTAGTCGATATGGTAGTACATGACAACGGAGAGCACGTGTACTTTGTAGAACAACTTTAACCAGTACAAGTAGTCCCGATACAAGCAGAATAACTGCAAGGACAGTATCTTGCACACGACCTATCACAGTTAGCACAGATATCTCCATCTCTTTTCTTCCTGGTATGAACAGTTTCTGTGTCTATGAACAAATTTTTGTAGAGGTGTTCAAAAGATTCATACTGTCCATATTTGTCTACACTTGATCGTCTTCGTCGATTAACTCCTAGCGTGTATATTGACCATCGACAAGGTACATCATCTGCTGCATTGGGATCGGAAACGGGGATTCGAATCTGAGTAGATGTATTCACAATAGCATATTGTGGAGAAACAACGCTTGCTACTGGTGGAGTATTAATGAAACCATCATCTCGAAGTCGAAGATCAATGAAAGTTGTCCTTGACCATTGAAGACCACTTTGGGGTGGATAATTCAGTCCTACCCAAGCACTTCCCATATATGCTAAGTAAACATGTGCATTAGTTGACAATGTAATATTCACTGATCGTTCACTTGTCATCATACCTAATGACGAACTAGCTGATATACAGTCGGTTAACATATTAACTGGTTTAATTGAATAGCCTTTATCAGTGGAACAATCAGCTGTGCATGTCAAATTAGTATTTGCATTGCTTCGGCCAGTAGTTGAAATCGGTACATCTGTTGCACAGCTTATAGTAAGATACGCCCATGAATACCTCTATGTGGTTGTAATTGAAACTGTAGAGAAATTGATAAAGGGATTTATCGGTTCCCATCGAATGGTGCTTCATTGAAATGTTTTCCATCGATAAGAATAAGACGATAAAGTATAGTCAGTATTAAAGTGATCATTATGACCTTGTTTTACTCAAAAAAAACTCAATATCTGAAAAAATTCGTTTAATGTTTGTTTATCTATTGTAGAAGATATAACAAATATTGATCCCACAAAAAATTGACTTCGCGATTTTGGCGAAAAACTATATCAAAATGTTCAGAATGGTTATTAATGTAATCATAAAATGAGCTTGCCAATGTTTAAAATAGTAGTTTTGAAGAAATGATCAAATTGATTTACAAGCCAGCCTCAACGCTATGTACTATCTTCATAGGTTTTCCCGCTCAAATTATGATTATTTTATTGAAAGTCTGTTACATTAAAAGAAAAGATATTTTCACTTGAATTTAAAGTGAGAGAAACGTCGCATCATTTTAAATGTTTCAAGAAAGCTAAATAGGAACAGAAAAAAACCGTTAGTGCAATCCTTGCGGGATCAAAATCTGAAACATTATTTAGTCGTAAGTGCTAATTACAAGAAGATTATTTTATTCTATCGATTCTGAAACACATTTCTCCACTATTATTTTATTTAATCCCCTGATAAAATGCGAAAATAGCTCAAACATATTAATGGAACATTATTGATTGACGTTCTTTGATCGTATATGAACAAGGTATGTCACAATCTGTATTGCGAAGGAAGAGGAGTATTGCTAAGGTAACTATCATAGTCTGTGATACAGGTGAAGAAAGAGGAAGGCTAGACGTTCCTAAGATGTTCCTCATGACTGTGATGAGCTGTTTCTGATGTGTCCGTCAATGTCTGTAGAAGTAGAATGGGTACGAGTTGCGGAAATTTCTGGGATATGGGTATGAGTGTTATCCTCTTCACACTGACAACTACAACCACACTTATATTGAGCCAGTTCCGATAGTTACCAATCGATTTAGTAATAAAATAATTAATTGTAATAGAATGTTGTATATACAATAGATCATACTTGACTCAGACTCATTTTCGATTATAAATTCATTCGGCGTTTTTAAAGTCGGCAAAAACCATTGTTGGCGAAAACGGACTAATTACAAATTTCTACTTTAACTTCGATAAAATAAGAACAAAACTCAACTGAAAAGACTTTCTGAGGTAAAATCTTTTTAAAATTTTCTAGTCTTAATAACTTGTATTGAACATGGAAAGTTTTTCTTCGAAAGCAATCTATTATCTTTAAGGTCCTTATCAACTAGTATTCAACCTTAAAATGTAGTGAATAAATATGTGTATTAAGTGAGATTGTAATAGTCATGTATAAAAATAAAGAGTCCATAGTCGTATTGTTTTATTTGAGGATGGCTTGATCAAGTGTTCATTCAATGTTTTCAACAATCATTGCATCTATTTGTGTGATTGTAATCATACTATCTCATGAATAAAACAAGCATGGTTTCGTTGTTTTCCCTTTGGAAAAAGATGTCATGTTTTTCATCAATATATGTTAACAGAAAGAATGATTACTTACTCATATCTCTATGTAAAATACAACTAGCAAATTAAGTCAAATACTTTATAGAGTTCTCTATATGCAATCATTCAAAGTAATAAAGGTAATAAATAATTCTTTGATTACTTTCTGATTCGATAATGTAAAAAAAACAAAAAAAAAGTGTTTGCATTGGAAGCATATATCTAGCTTTCCCACTGGTCAGCTACATTAGAAAGTCACTATAGATAGAATAATAACTTATCGTCGATAGACTCAAATATAAAATTATCAAATATCATTTCTTTGAAATGAAGTTTAAGGCATAACATAAACTTATTGTTTCGTAGAAGTATTGATTTCCCTCACTTTTACTAATTATTTTCTCTCTGTTTTAGTATTGAAACTTCTAGTTCCAAAGATTCCTCAAAAGTCTTTCTACAAAGTTACCTATATCGATAAACCAAGTCTAAAGATCATAGAAGGTAAGATTCTGTTTGTGGCGTTGAAACATTTATAGATGAATACAAATAATGGATAGAAGCTTATTAAATCATCTTATATAAAAGTTGCACTAATTAGTTGTCTTTATTTCGTCGACTAGAATCTCGTTCCATCAATTCTAATAGATATGTACAAAAGTCAAAAAAACTTAAATAATTTACCTATATTCATAAGCCTATTTGTCGAGTGAGTTGCATCTGTAGTTGTGTCTCCTTTAAATATAGTTACTACTCACGCCATAGAATAATTAAATCTATGAAAAAATACTTGTTAATTAAATTCATTGTCAGAAAAAAGAAATTAAAAAAAAGTTGCTTATTTCTCTTAGATCTCTTGACTCCTCGAAAAGTATTTCCTTTGAATTCATTAAGCAGTGTATTTTTGTCGCATAATAATATATTATATAGCTTCTTTCATCTATAGGCATTAATTGAGTTTGTTTTTCCTGTATGTATAATTCTGAATAAAATTGATTTAAAAATCAAAAAGACATGACAAAAATGTATGCCATAAAGCTTTCCTATTGGGTAAAGTTCGAAGAAAGGTTAAAAAAACAAACAGAAAAGCTTGCATTCATTTTTTCCAATCCACATAAAATACAGATCACAATCATGAAAGTAGTTGCAAATCGATAGTGTTCGATGAAAACTTTTCATCAGTTCAATAGACATTGATTAAAAAGTAAAATAAAATGTTGTACTTGGAGTTCAAATGAAATGTACTAGCACTTTTGTGTTTACCACTACGGCTACATTTACTTTTCTCTTCATAAATACATTCACAGAAATACAAAAAAAAAAAAGTTGTCATGTAATCTGTTTTGGTCATTTTTTGAAATTTATAATCATTACTATGTTATTTCATTCTATACTGGTACTTTCGTAATTGAGTTTAGAGTAAAATGCACTGATATGATGATTTAAAATTACAAGAATACAGAAACCCTATCAGTTTTTTAATAATTTTTCATCCGTTGAGATGAACTTCAATCCATCAACGATCGGTTAACTCAGAGAACTTGACGTATGTAAAAATCGACGGTTTATATTCTAATAATTCAAGGACACAGATGCTTTAAAATTTTTTAGCAGATTCTATCATGCAAATATCATGTTCAATCAAATTATTGGAAAAAACTCGAAAAAAAATTTTAAAGAAATCTTAGAAAAAATAATTTCGAAGGGCCAAAGTCCAAAAAAGTTCGAACATAAAACTCTCGAACTCCGAAGTATCGAGAAAACAAAATCTCGAAGTAAAAAATGTCAAATAAAATATGACTTCGAATAGTAAATATTCCGAAAATCAAATCTCGAAAGATGTCTTCTCATTGTATTATTACTTCACTAGTTTCATGTAAACATTCATACTGATCTAGAATTTTTCTTCCATTTTTCGTTTGTCCATCTCTTAAGGGCCTGGATGTGTGAAGAGGCTATCCAAATTTACACCCACACCCACTCTGAACGCACTTGACCATAGGGAGCGTACAGACAAGAGCTCTATTAGAATGCGTTCTCTAACAGATATATTATCAATATCTATATCGAGATGTTTCATGTTCGATAAAAATCTTGATAAATTGGTTTTTCAGAGGCTTGAAGAAGTTATCAAGCAGTTTTATATTCGTTGTGATAGAACCGAAAACAGAGCAACATGTTTTTAAAAGTCGTTTGATATACTATTAGCAAGAAGAATTGGAAAAAAATATGTCACACTTACGATCAATATAAAACCTAATCAAATGTTTTCTGTATAAACAATAGAATCCATGCTAATTATGCTGAAGACCTCTAATAGGATTGGAGATTAAGATGAAAAAAAACAATCGATCGAGAACACATTCTTTATCGAATCATCAAACGATTCTGTGTGTTTTAATCAAAAGAATCTTTGAATAATTTCGATTATCGAAAGTACTGTTTCCAACGTTAGTATCTCTGTTATTATTGTGGTCGCCATTTATTGATATATCAGGAATAAATTAATTGTCCTTCGTTCCGTACCAGCTGGCCTGTGCCTAAGTATTATTCATGGAACATCTTTTGATCGAGAGCAATGTAGAACACTTTCAAATCAGGTTTTTATTGTCTTTCAGAATATTGATTTCTCTAGATTTAATTGTGTTCAAATTTAAAAACTTTTCAACATGTAGTCAACATAGTTCAAACGAAATATTTTCTCAACTGAAATCCCAAACTTGAAACTCACCAATAGAACAACATGTATTCTCCTTCATTTTCTACTTAAATCGATGTTAAATGAGATTACTTATGAAAAGAAATTCTGGCCCGTATTTTGATAACAAATCATAGAATCACGGACGAAAAAGACTAATTCTAGAATAAATATTCGGAAATAACAAAAAATTTTGATTCCAAATCAAAGGTAATCATTTTTAAACAAAATCCGAACAAATAAATATTACGATTTCTAAAGTATTCGAATGAATAAAAGCATGATTTTCATCGAACTTCAGTCCACCATCAAAATACATTCTTCAAAAATGGAATCCATGAATTTTTATGAAGCAGTATCATAAATCACAACAATATTTTGAACAAATGCTCGACGATCTAAATAATGAAGACCTTGCTTGAGTTGAATATAACATTAGTCTAACACTTCTTTACAAAAGTGAATAGAATGAGACGAGAAAATCATATTTTGATCGCAGCTATGATCGAATAAGGGAAGCAAACCAATTGCAGAACAAATAGTCAACTAGTGCAATCAATAGCAGTGCTGACATTTTATATATTATCAGCGAACGTTTTATAAAGCCCTCGAATTCTCTCAATAAGCACTCAAAATATGAGATATATATTAACCTTCTACTCACGAAAGCATTGCTTATAACCTGAAATCGACTGTACTGCTATGGATTGATTACTGTAAATATGCTCGTGGACTAAATTATTTGGAAAATCACTGAAAATGACACAACCATGTTTATCAGTCGATCATCTTTTTATTAAGAGAACTTTGACTAATATCGAAGTTTTGTATGAACATTTGAAGGAATCTGACAAAGTGCTTCAGTGTTGTAGCTAAGGACTCAATATTTATAATATAAGTTAGTCAATAGGACATTCTAACCGAAGAGAACCCGAAATGCGTCGGTACATATATGTCGTATCGAAGTTAGCATGTTTATAGAAGTTACAACTTCTATGAATTATGTTTATAGAACTTATAACTTCGATAAGACATATATATACCGCACAATCATTAGCATACATACAACCGACACCCTTTTGTCATTATCTACTATTAATAAGTTTCATAACTTCTTCTTTGTCAATTTATCCATAATTGTATAGTATGTATACGCATGCCAGTCGTTTTTGATTCCACCTAAGCAAATAGTGTCTGTTACTTTTGTTTTCTTGCTGTTATGTTGAAGCATGTGTTAGATCCAACATCTTCTTCTCTATTTTTTGTTCTCTTCAATGATCTATTATGTCTTTCTGGTGTTTTTTCTTTACTGAATCATGTTTCTTCTTTGTTCTACTTCTAAATCAAGTGAGGTACACTCCAAATTTTAAATAAAATAAGTAGTACCCAAGCATATGTCGCTATATCTGAATTATGCAATGAGATATTTAGAGCTTGAATCATATTCAATAACTTGATATTTCTGTCTCAAACAATCAATTCAAAGTAAGTGTTATTGTCTTTTTCTTGAATTTGTTATTATGTAATTTATCTGCCAAGAACAAATTTTTATTCATGATTCGAACTGCTCAAGAGGTGTCCCCTCCCTTTCTCAGGATTTCGCGGAAACGACTTGACGAAAAATTAAAAAAGTTTTGAGGTAGACAAATCTCAGTAAGTAGAGCAAACCTTGTCATAGACTCAAGTTTCCTAGATACTTCCTTCGGAATGATAAGAGAGTTGCAAAAGCCAAAAGTGACCAGAAGTTCATTCTCTTCCCTCTCTAAAACTTCATACGTCATGTTGTCACGTTGCAATTTTTTTATGACAATGAGGATCAAATCAGGATGCCTATATTTTTTCTTTCCAAAATATCGTTCATAAAACTCAAAATAAGGAAAATGCGGAAAGCATCGTCAAAGAAAAACATGTTTTTTAAATGGTACAAATTTTTGAAAGATTGCTGAATTTCTCAGGCAAAACATTCTTAAGAAAAAATAAATATACACACCTCAGTTTGACAATAGTACTCAAAACATTCGAATCCCATTGGACGCAGTATGTAGAAGAAAATTTCGGTTATTTTGATTCAGAAATTGGTTTTGAGAAAAACGCAAAACAACCCTTCCTGTATGTGTTAGGACAATGTTTCTTCAATTAAAGTGATCAAAAAATGATCTTGTTCAGCGGTGTAAGAGGATCATAACTTATACTATCGGGATCTTTTGAATGAGAAATAATCATTATCATTAGGAGAGTTTTGCAAACAAAGAATAGTTGTTGTCTGAATTGTTCTGCCAAGTATTTCAAAAATTGGCAGAGAACATTTCAAAGGCATACCAACCATTGCCAACTTGTGATTTTAACATCAAAAGAAGAGGAAGGGGATAAGTCTTCTTAACATATTGCTTTTGATTCTTCAAAAGATTTTTTTCTCTCAAAATAGGAAAAACAATATGTTCCGCACTGTAAAATATACAATTGTAGTCAAGGTCTGTGGAAATATGCGAGTGACGTACAGATAATAGAATGACCTTGTTACTAATTAGTAGGTACTATATTGAATCGAATATATAAAAGAATAAAAATATAAATAAAATATGTTCAATTTTTGTTTTTCTTTTCTGATTTGATTATTTTTGCAATCTGACTTATAATTTTTTCTATTGTATTGTAAAATAATAAATTCAAGTATATAAAGATAACATCTGCCCTTCGAATATCTGATTATAAACAACAAAAGATAAACAATCGTTACGTAGGTACCATATGTTGCCAAGATCTATTGTTTCAAAATAAAAAAAATGATATAAATAAGACAGTTGACTGTACTCGTAATAAATCATTCCTAACGAATTCCATTCATTTATTCACATGGCTCTTTTTGCTTATCGACTGATATTTATCTTATTTCTTTGTATTTTGCACGTACATGGATCATGTTATTATGATTCACTCAAGTCATCACCAACAAATAATACTTCAGGTAATTTAAAAAAAAAATTTCTCTCATAAATATGTCGAGTTTATTCGAAATATTAGGCAATCAGATAACCAATCAATATTGCGAATATTTCGGTAAGAAATATGCAATTAATACCAATTGGACTTCACCATTTCCTGATTGTCTTGATTGTCTCTGTGCTGACTACGGATTAGAATGCTGTGGGTATGTCATCGTGTTTGTAATATATCGTAATCTTTTCTATTTGATCTTAATGTATTATATAGATTTGGAACACAAGCTGGCCCAAATATTCCTCCAGCAGGTTGTGAATTAGTTTTAGGTATATGTGAAGTTCGGTTCGTTCGAAAAAATGATCCTTCACAGGTGTGTAACGAAAATGGTCCGGTCAACCCTAAACGTCTTAAAAAATTTATTATGAGACGTAAAAATTCAACAATAATATATAAAAAAAAATCTGGCTTTATTATTGACTGATATCATGTATCTTCTTCTGATTGTTGAATAAAGCAATAATAAATAAAATCTTACAGTTTTATATTAATTAATCATATTTAGATTTGCACTTGTATCATCAAAAAAATATATATAATTCAATATAAACAAATAATTGTTAACGAGAGAGCAGAATGAATATTCACACAAAATATCTCATCGTACTTTTCATATATAAAACTGTATCCTAAATTGTATGTGGAATTTACAGAATTGTGCTAGTAACTAAGTGTTACATGTACAACGCCAAGAAAATTAATCTTTGTTTGTTTCCTTTTCATCCAAATACGTAAAACGACTATTGCATAGCCAAGCATTTTTTTCATTCTGCAAGAGAGAGAGACACAATCAATCATGAATCAACAACAATAGTTCTGTAGTACGTGCAGAAAAAAGAAAAGAACAAGAAAGAAAAAGGATCAGTCGTTACTACAATTATCTATAGATATGGACAAAGATTTACTTGTGTTGAGAGGTTATGACGCCTGCAGAAAAATAGTAGGAGTACTAAGGATATTTTTTCTTTCTCCTGGATGATCAACAATATACGATAGACCTGGATGTACTGATAGAATGAGAGAAATAGAGATAGCAAAGAAAAAAGTGGCTTAAGTCAGTCGTTTCGACATTCTCACGCAGGCATACAATTATGTTGTATACATGCCTATTAAATGATACCGCTCCTAACAAATAGGTATTATTAATGATCGAAATTGACTAAAAACGTAAAATATTCAGTTTTTATTCAAATTTAAATTCAGATATTCATTTCGATTTTATTACTCATCAATTTTGTATTATTATTATCAATTTCGATTCATAATCTGATATGAATTACGTTCCACTGAATGGAAAACAAGAACAATCTACTTCGTCACCAACTTCCTTTCATAATTCTAATAGATTTTACATTAATCAACAAAAAGCAGTTTTACAGTTACCAAAACCTCGATTTGAATTAACGGTCAATGGTCATTCGCATGCAAATCATCAGCAACAACATTCTCATAGAACACAAGATTTTTCTCATGTAACTATTCAAAAGCCCGATATACGTCCTTCTCGAACACCAATACCATTTAGTACAATGACGCCAATAACTCGTACTAATAGTCCTTTGAATAATGTTCAACAAAAACTAGCTGCACTCACATTACGTTTAGAAAAAGAATTAGAAAATGATGCAACTGTGGATGAATATTATGGTCAATGTACAAAATGTGGTCAACCAGTAACTGATTCATCTGATGCTTGTCAAGCTATGGGTGAACTTTATCATAATAACTGTTTTAAATGTGTTGTATGTGCTAGAATATTACGAGGCAAAGCATTTTATCGTATACATGATCAAGTGTATTGTGAAGAAGATTATTTGGTAAGTGCAGATAAATAATGTATGTAATTATATATATACTTTCCAGATGGTAGATGCTATTTTTGTTGATTTATATATTCATCATAAGTACTTTAGGAATAAAATGATTATCGTATTTTATGTTTCGCTTAGTCAAAAACAAGAAGGAAAGAAATCGTTCAAAATTTTTATTTTTAGTTTACTGGTTATCAACAAAAGGTAGAGAAATGTCATATTTGTGATCATCTTATTATGGATAAGGTATTTTTAATGATATAACAAAAAAAATTTTTAATGTCAAATTTTTTCTTTTTTAATTAAGATGCTTCAAGCACTTGGCAATGCATATCATCCTGGTTGTTTTCGTTGTTCAATATGTAATGAATGTCTTGATGGTCTTCCATTTACTGTTGATAAAGAACGACGTATTCTTTGTTTATATGACTATCATAAGTAAGTGTTGAGTTTGTTTTTGTTTTTTAATCAAGTTTTTAATTTTTTTTTTTTTTTACTGTATTTGTTTAGTACTTATGCTCCTAGATGTGCTAAATGTGCTTATCCTATTTGTCCAGAAGACGTAAGAGAAACATTCTTGAAACAAAAAAAAGAAAAGCAGATTTCCTCTTTTTTTTGATTTGATAGGGTTCTTATGAAACCATTCGTGTTATCGCTATGAATAAAAATTTTCATGTTGAATGTTATCGATGTGAAGTATTATTGAGTGGAAATTATTTTTATAGTATTTCTGTTTATCTTTTATTTGTAGGATTGTCAATCTAGTTTGAGTGATGAGCAGACGATAGCTCTTTTAGGCGGTTGCTGTCCATTAACAGATGGCACATTATTATGTTATCGATGTCGAATGCGTCGAGGTGCTAATGACAATTGAATTGCTTTCTTGTGTATTATTCCACAAATATAGACAATCGTCTTATTTTGACGTGTTATTTATACTTAACATGAGACATGAAGTATAAGATGAAGGCCATTGTCTGTAACTTTTTATTATTGCGTTTGTTTGGTTTTTATTATTTTGATTGATGCAGTAAACGACAAGAAATAGTTTGATATGTAACGATATTGCAGTAGAACATTTCGAAAGAATTAGAATAAGATATATGACATATGTCATCGCAGAGGTGCAGAATCTTCCTCATGCGCCCCCGCGCGGGGAGGGAAATTTTTTGAAAAACTCAAATAATAGGGAAATTTTGGAAAAACCCGCTGGCCAAAAAAAAATACAGTGGGGAAATTTTTCAAAAAACTATTTTGCGTGGGGGGAAATTTTTGGATTTTTGGAAGATTCTGCACCTCTGTGTCATCGACTGTTCTAGAATTAAACACATAGATATTCAGACAATCTATAACTGAATATACTTCAATTCTCAGGCGTTATTTGATTTTGTATATTGAACATAAATAGTTTTCATGAAACCGAAATAAATGTGAAAAACATTCAAACATTTGGTTTTTTCTTTAGAGATCTAAATGTCTGTGTTAAAATATTCATTTGGATGAAAAGTATTATTTCTATTCGAGGTTATTACAGTTCAATGGGGGAAAGAGAATGCATAAAAATTTGTAGTCTTTTTGCCCAAAGATATTTGAAATACAAATAAGTCTCTACAGTCGATACCGATTCTAGAAGAGTATCGGATGAAACGACCACTAGTATAGAATATTGGTGCCTCCTATATATCGATAGCATGAACAGATGATCAAGCACACTCTAATGAACATTGGAGGGAAACCATTTGATAAAAATTCTATTTGGGGTCTTTCGTAAATCTGATGTAATTCAACTGAAAAAACGTTTCGTAGACAGTAGGGTCATATCTAATTTTTTAGATAATGATTTGCTCTGTCATTTTGTGTGACATGAGCAAATCTTACGACCAAGTTGTAGGCTCTAAAAAAACTAAAGGTTTGATTTTCTGAAAAATCCGTAGTGACTATTGCGTGTTTTATTATATCTTATCCTCCTAAATTTTGAGGAACTTTTGACTGGTATTGATACCAGTGATAGATCTTGTCATTGTTATAGATTACCCAATACATTTCCATAGTAAATCTTGTTTGTTGATAGACAAATATTTTATTTAAAGAAATTTCAATTTTGGTGAGATTTTCAAACACACTAATTTTTCAATACAAGACATGTTTTCAAAGTTTACCGTTATTCTCTGGAATCATTTTGAAAATGGTCATTGTAGTGACTAAAGAAAGAGGGACAAATGTTCAAAATATCAATTAAACAAATAATTCTTTCGAAACAAATTTATTATTACAGTTCAACAAAAACATACAATGTGAAACTCATGTAACTCTGGCAGTCTCCAATAGTAAAAACTTCTATGCTTATCTGTCACGTTACACATACACTAATACTAAGAATGACAGAAGAGTTCTTTCAAAATTTTTCAAGTAATCAGTCACAACAAATGATATTGAATAACTTCTATGATTCGTTTCACATTAATTTCTTTAATAAATAAATGATTTTATTACAAGAATTAATAAGTTTGATCTATTCTTATTTGAAACTAAAATTTAACACAACTTGAAAGTTTCTCGACTATTGATAGAATTCTGCTGGCGATAAGAATATAGAATGATCTCTAAATTACGTATTTATACTAGACTTCATATATTGAGGTCACTTAATACCATGATATTTTTACAGTTGCATAATGAAAGCAGTTGCATAACTGTGTTAATAGAATAAATTTTTTTTTAATGTTTTTATATACAAAGAATGAATTGGAAACTACTAACTATTAAGAGTTTCTGATGGTCTGTTCACAACAGCCCAGAAAATGAGCTCGAAATCATTATGGTGAAAACTTTGTACTTTAGACCGAACTTAGCTCGTGGTGGCTAGTTGCCTTTTCGTGATCATAATAAATCCATTCAACAAAATCCAAGACTTCTATCGGATGATAAGAAATGTTGAGCTCAATACTTACAGTTATTATTTTGATTATGACTAGAAGTTTGTCAATTGCAGATTTTCAAGCTAATATTTCTCAGTCATTAAAGCAATGAAAATCAATAAATAAGATTGCAATTTTTGTCAACAAAATTCAATTTCGAGATTTTTATGTGATTATCTGCTTTTGGAAACAGTATGACTTATTGGAATTCTGATGCTTTTTCATGGTTTTACACCGGATTTACTAATGATGTTGAAATCAGGAAAAACTGTTGTTTTTTTGAAAATGTTAGTTATTGTTGCCTTTTTAACTTTTTCTAAGATAACCCATGGAGGAGAATGTAACAAAAATTTGTAAAATAACTAGAAAGTACTGAAAGCCATCGAGCAAAGGGGAGTCGTGTCCCTGTATTTTTTTTTCCTATTCAGTGTTAATTTAAATACTTAATTACTTTGACAGTAAATCTCGGACATACAGATACATACTTTTTTGACTCTTCAATAGGAATGCATTTTGAAACACCCAATATTTTGGATTGAAATTTTTACCGTAAGGATCCTAGGTCTAAATCAGCATGTTCTAAAATTTTCATTTTGATCGGTTGTTCTGAGATGAAAATAGATTTTTTTACAGAAATGGGGGTGGTTGGCTTAAATAGGGTTATCCCAAGTGGAAACTAGTCGGTAAGGCGATACTTTCAATCTTAATGATCTTTAGATATTTCTGTATTTAAACTAAAAAAAGTAACTATTCATTGAATGTATCAAGATTTTAATTTCAAATTTGATATGGATTGGCTTCAATTTACAAACAAATATCAACTTAAAATATATTAATTAACCATGTTCTTATCAATTAAATAAACATGATTATATTGTAGTACTTTTTATTTTCATTTTATACTTTTTCATTTCCGTTAATTCAAATAAACATACATAAAAATGAATGCAAAAATCACTTCAAAACATTATGTTACATAATTCTTTTTCTGTATCGCTTGAATATAAATATGTTGCTCGTTTTTCTCATTAATGTTTATTCACAAGATAAAATTACCTTTGCTTATCATTGCGATCCGAATGTGTGAGAATATAAAGGAAATTTGACTGAAAAAGACAACACGTACACACAGAAATGCATATATCAAAAAACGAGGAGTACGGCAAATGTGATCACTCATATGATTAGTTTGAATAAAAGATGAATAGAAAAAAAAGATAAAGCATATATATATAGATACGTATATATATATATATCAGTTGTTTTTATAGTTTAATTAAATATCACTCTTGTAGTCGTATTCTATTTTGACTGAGCATGTGGCTGTTGAACAATAACCTCTCGTGGTTGTTCAATATTAAACGGTGATACTAATTCGCACAGTTCTTTATTTTCCATTAATAATTGAACGAATTCTTTTGAAGTTATTTTTATATCATCGAGATCTTTACCTTGATTAAGATGTTCAAGTGATCGTTTTAATTCATCAATAATACGTGATGTATTCTCTGGATCATCTTTTGCATGAAGTCTCATCGCAATCTATAATGAAATAAAGTTAAATAAACAAACAAACGAAATAAAACAAATTTTTACTTACCTTAACCATTCGATCAATTTCTTTTTTATTAATTACCCCATCTTTATCGTGATCATAGGTTCGAAAAACATATTTAAGCTTTTCACGTATGCTACCATTAGAAGTTAATGCAAAACCAATTAAAAATTCACGCTGATCTAATAGATAAAATAAGAAAACAAAGCTGTTAACAAAATTCTTGTGGGATTAATATATGAAACAAGATATAGCTGTTATTCACACCTTCACATGAGAGAATTCCTAAAGTATCCGTCACAGTGTCTGATCGATTATCTGAATTAATGGCATGGTCTGTGGAAGAGAGAGAGTCTAAATTTCTACCTCATCTACTTCAACATGTCTTTTAGGTCGTGTTTCAAGAAAAGAACAAAGAATGAGAGCGATGACTGCTGTAAATGGTTGCCTCAAGAAATTTGATTTCTTCTATATCAAACTATTCCATAAGATGTTCGACAGCTCTTATTTATGCTGTGAACAGATCGATTGAAATAGTCAATGACCATTACACATGTGCATTGAACCTAACTGTTGAATGCAATCAACACTTTTTTTTATCTATCATCTCATAAGCAACCATCCTATTTTCATGTTTTGATAAAACTCTTCGAGCAATTCCAAATGGTATAAAACATTAAGGAAAGAAACAGTGGTCGGTGTAGCTTCTCATGGACTACATTGCCCTGATATGTTGGAATATTTGTAGAGCTTACTGAAAATCTATGCCAATATCAACCAATCTCATTGCCAGTCGAGCTACGTTTCATGTTGTTCTATAGTAATTTTTGAGAGCTTCAAAATGGTATGAATGCATTGAAGAAAAACTATTGACCACACAGAGAGATCCTAAGGAGATTATTCTTGAGATACACTGTTATAATTGCTTTGCTTCATATTTAGAAAGTTTTATTTAGAAAAATATAATTGAATAAAAACTACTATGATATTATGAACCATCATCGCAAATTCAATGGGGTTGTGCATATTTCAAAAATTTTCGGAATCTTTTGTTATTCGTCAAAAAATTCATCCCTGATCCTTCGGGATTGTGTTGAGTCAAAAAAATGAATTGCATCAAAACTCTGTTTTTATCGTTGATTCATCTGTTGTTTGTAGGATCAAAATAACTTTTCGCTAAAATGTATTTTTTGATTCAACCCTGAGGAGGATCAGGAATGAATGTCTAGAGGAAAAATAAGATTTCAAAAGTTTTAAAATACACATAAATTCACTCAGTTTCGGACATTTATGCAGAATATCATATTAGTTTTTATGCAAATCACATTTTTCTAATCGAAAACTACTAAATATCAGATCAGAAAAAAAAACATAAAATCATGTCTCAAAAATGGACTCTGAGAATGTCTTTGCATGATCAGAATTCTTTTCTTAATATTTTCATACCATTTTGAAGCGCTCAGAAAGTATTATCAAATCATTTATTCAATCAAAACTTAGCACATACCAACAATGCCATCATTGTTTGCGTCAAATGCTTTATGAATATCGCTTGCTTGTTTTTCAATTTGTTCTTCTTTCCCACTATTAATACTTCGTAAGAAACTTACTGTATCTGCCTTAGAAATTTTCCCATTTGGACAAGCAGCCTAAGAATTGAAATTCATCAAAATTATGAATAAATCAAAATAAAACCAAGACAAACCTTCAGTTTTTCATACCAAACTCGAACACTTTCATGATCAATTTTAGCTTTACTTGAAATAAATTCTACGTCTTCTTCACTTAATTCTGCTGGTGGTTGTGATGAGTTAGATCCCATTTTAATATCAATCAATATGTATTTTGCCTCCTAAACGGAGGAATTTTTGTTTTGAAAAAATAAATAAATATTGAAAACAAAACAAGTAAATGAATAAATAAAATAATTCGGTCTAGAAATATAAGAAAACAGAGATCATTAATAATTGTTCATTCAAAAATAATATGCATTTATTAAAAAATATAAAAAGCTCGATTTTCAATATAAAATAAAACCATTTTATATCGCGAGATTACATTAATAACAGAAACAACAGGATATTTAACAATACAAGTACGAGTTTTGATTGCGAGATTACATTCATAACAAAAAAACAGCGTATTTTAAATACAAAAACCAATTGCACATCTATTATTCTTCTCTCCAACTGCCAGTCTTTGGATTATAAAATAAATGTATTTCTTTCATTGAATCGACAAATGGTATGTTGATTGTATACATTGGTTCATTGTAATGTTCTTGCCAATTTAATTCAATATATAAATTCATATTCTCATTTGGTTGATTTATGTGTATTTTATGTTCGATTGGTTCTTCACCCTTGATTAGTTTTGAATCATATATTGTTTGAGTATTTTGTTTTATAAGTATTCTTACTGTTGAAAAAAGTGTATAAGCAATATCTTGATTAAGATCTAAACCTATTATTGAAACAGTTTGTTGTTTAATCGTAATACGTATTCGTCGATGAAGTTCCCATTCAGGTATTGAAATATTTAATTTTTCCATTAATTTTCGCATAAGATCATCACACATTGCATGAATATTTAATTTAGCTAATGAAGCTAATGGGGTTGATTGTAAATTACCAATGGCTAATTTTCCACCGTGTTGAGCGACTATCATTGGAATATGCGCTGCTGGTGTTACACGTAATGATGAACCTAAGACAAGACAAACATCAGCTTGTCTTGCATGATCAAAGCTTGTTTTTAATTCATGTTTAGGTAAACTTTCACCGAAATTAATAATTGAATCATAAAGTGTTGAACCACATTGAGTACATTTTCGATTTGTAGCATGATCATGTACTGCAGCAGCAGTACGTGTACGAAAATCACGTAAATATTTTGTATGGCATTTTTGACATGTTTCTAAATTTGAATTTCCATGAAGTTCAGCTAACATAATTGATGGTAAACCAGATCGTAAATGTAAACCATCTGTATTTTGTGAAACAACAAAATGTAAAAGATTTCGACGTGCTAATTCAACAAGAGCCATATGAGTAGCAGATGGAATAGCTTTTGTTGATGTTGTAGTTCGAGTTGTTGGTGAACGCTTTGCACCGGGGTGATCTCGAAGTTCCCATACACCAGGACCCGTTGGTAAAATAGTATTCATCCCTGATCGAAAATCAGGGATACTAAATAAAAATAACAATAATCATTTTTACAAAATGAAATTTTTCTGTTATATTGTATTTTTATATAGACTGTTGAGTGTATAGATAAGAACAAAAATGTATCGAAAAGAAAAGAACAAAAAGCATTGGATGATGGTATTTAAAAAATCTAATATGTTGAAACTTTTTATGACTCGTTGAAGGTTAAATGCATTATATTTATAAAATTAACTTACCCAGTAGATGTCGACACACCAGCACCTGGATATATACCATATAAATACATTATAATAAGAATTGATAATCTACTAGCCTGTAAATACAATAAAATGTTTGGCATTTCGAATCCAATCAGCTAATTGATCCAATTTTTTATCAAGGACATCTAGTGAATCGACATGTTCTTTTTTTGTTTGGTCTTCATCTGAAATTCCATGTGCCATTTCTTTAATTTTTTCTTTCAAGACAAAAGTAATAAAAATAAAATCTAAAATGAAATCTTTATCTGTAAACAATATTTCCTATGGATAAATTCAGTTCTCGATAACATACTCAAGCTTGATATTGCTTAATCAAAACAAAAGAAAAAAAAAAGGAAAATTTTGTTTATGTTAAAAACAAATGTGAATGAATGTATATTTCAATCTGTTGGCAGCATCTAAACCACATTAGAATGTGTTCTATAGTAAAGATAAAGAAATAATAACAAGAACAATCAGATCGACAACAATATCTACAATGACAAAACAAAAACAATCACAACTGGTTACGCTGTGAGTCACGCATCAAAAAAAAAAAAACGAAAAGCCATTGCCAAAAAAAACTGGCTAAAGAACTCTTTCTATACATATCGTTCATATTTTTTTTTTGCTTTAAGACACACACACAAGACAAAAGTAACTCATTAATAGATATGAGAATATATCGGAACGATTACATCTGCGTACAAAGAAAAAAAAACGAGCCTTGCAAAATAAATAAAGCAGAAAAAACACAAAACAAAAGAAATGATTACGATTCTTTTCTAATTAACTATGTTATGACGGACGTATCGACGCAGATTCAATTGATGTTGTTGAATGAGATGAGTTACTGTTGTTACTTGGTATGGACGAATTTGATGATGAGTTTGTCACATTTAATTGATGATTCATTGAATTAAATAAATCATCAAGTAATTGAAGTGCACGATGAATTTGTATTTCAATCCAACATGGAGTTTCTTTTATTGATTGTCTAAAAGTAATACAAACAAAAAAAAGAACAAAGAAAAAAAAATATAAATATTTTCAATCAATAAAAATTTTACCTTGGATAATCCGGACCCCAACCTTTTACAAAACTGAGTCTTAAAACACATAAACGTCTTAAGTCATCAACACTTAAACTAGCTGATGGTGGCATTGCTTGACCATGAAGTTGTTGTTGCATTCGAGCATGTAATGCCATTTTAACATGTTGATCCATTTGAGAAAAACATTGTGATAAATCAAATACCTAATAAATTGATTTTAGAAAAAAAAAATAAACTATTCAAAATCAATTATTTTTACACACTTTTATACAAGCTTGTGGATAAATTTTATGAACAGCATCACCTGGTGCTCGACCAGCTTCACGATCAAGATAATAAGATTGAAGAAAAACAGCTTGGTCACTATTACATCGTATCCATACATCAGCTTCATTTCGACATTCAACACGAATGCCTTTACCAATATGTAATCTACAAAAAATAATTTACTTTTCTTCTTTAGTATTGTAATTGAAAAAAGAATTATGTTTTTTGATAAATTTATACCGTGCTTTTTCGCTTGCTTCTGTACGATAAACATTACTTAAAGGGCCTAAACAAAATCGATCTCCAACTGTAGCCATATCCATCCCACCATCAATAGTCACTTCTTTAAATGTATCTGGAACTTTAAATGTTTCACCAACTTGAATATCACGCTCATAATAAGCGATACTACACCAATATTCACCAAAATTATTAATTAATGTTAATGGTTGAATTGTCGGTGCACTCGTCGGAACAATTGAATGTTGTTGCCCTGAAGAAAAATAATAATAAAAGAAATTAAGATAATATATTTTAAAAGACTTACATAAACTAGTTGTAGCTGGCATTGATTGTGCCCATAAAGGAACATTTCCATCTTCAAAGAAAATATTTTCAATAAAGAATTCAACAAGATTAGTGACGTAAATACTTCAATATTGTATAGAAAGATTGAGGAAATTTTTCTCTCTATATGTGTTGATAGCAAAAAATAGTGCTCTATATTTTAGTATTCTTCAAATAATATCATAATAATAGAACTTTCATAAGAGCCGTTTTTTTTTTCATATATAATGATAATGCTTAAGATCATTTCAAAGAAAAAAAGCTATTAATAAAATCTCTGCAGAATTAAAATGTGAAACATGGCGTAGCTGCTCTTGTTAATTACAAGAGGATTGTTATTTTTTCGTCTATTTTGCGACATATTTCTTCGCTGTCCTTGTACTGAATTCTCCGCAAATGCAGTAAGGAAAGAGTTTATATATTGTAACGAGACGTTATTGATATACGATCTTTGATTGTATATCAGCAACGTTTTTTATGGTCTGTGATAGTCTCTGACTAGCATCTATCATGGTCTGTAGAAAGAGGAGAGCGATGAGTGCAAATTTCTACTTTATATACTTCAATGCTCTTTATAAATCGTGTTTTATAAAAAGTGGATGGATACTGTTTGAATTACTTTTGATAAAACCAAAATAGAGGTTCACGATTTTGATTATTCCTTAGGTCTGACCAAAAGTTCTGAGAACATTAAATAAAAATATAAAGATGCAGAAATATTTTTAATTTTATTTTATGAAATGTTGAGGATAGTTACCATGATTATTAATATCAAGTTTAATCTTTTCTAACAATTTATTAAAAGTTTTTTTAATTTGTTTTTCTAAAACAATTTTAGCTTTCTTGGATACTACATGAGCTCATCATATTTCATTTATTTAATCAGTTAAACTTCGTTCGATAGAATCACTTAACCAAAGATTACGTAGTATTAGGTCTGGCGAATATGACATTATATTGATGCTTTTTTCTGTCAACTAATTAATAACATTGGATGAGTATGAAATCAACGATGATCGTCAAGCAATTTTGTAAATTTTGAACCTGATGGCTATGTTTGTTTCCATATTTCGTTAACAAAAGGGTTCAGATAATTTTTAATATAATACTTATGATCTACAGTCTTGCCTCTATCTACACTGAGGACTATTTGATTTAATGAATATTCTTAACAATGTTTTGCTTCACATCTGTCTCCATGAGCAATAATCTTTGACAATTGATCTTCAATAAGCCAGTTAGCATTAGATGACTTATGACTAACCTATCTAAAATAAATCCATAATTCCCATTACAAGTAATGCTAGAATACAATATGACATGATGGAACAAAATTCCACTAAATTTTTAAAACAAATAAGATATGATTAGCTCAAGTGGTATCCAAGGTAGGTAAAATTGTTTTAGAAAAACAAATTAAAAAAACTTTTAATAAATTGTTAGAAAAGATTAAATTTGATATAAATAATCATGGTAACTATCCTTAACATTTGATAAAATAATATTAAAAATATCTCTGCATCTTTATATTTTTATTTAATGTTCTCAGAACTTTTGGTCAGATCTAATTTGAAGGAGGACATAATGACACATTATATCGTATCAAGGATATCCTATAACAATCGATGATAAGTTGTTAATGAAATTCTTCACACTTTTTCTTGACATGAAAAGTTAAACTATTTTAACACGTCTGCATAGATGGAAACAAAATTTAACCACTGTGTCGCAATTGACTAACTTATTAAAATATTACAAAAATTGATGTATTTCAATTGTGCTCATGCATTTTAGTACAGATTTAAGCGACACAGCTGAAATTGTCGAAAATTAAAGAACTTGGTTAGATATGTATGTGATAAGAATTCCGATTTTCTCCATCAAGAAAAGTATGAAAAATGACATTGACAATTTATCATGATTTACTATATGACATTATTCATTATAGTATTTTTTAAAGCACTCAATCGACTTCTTTTGAAAAGAAATGTACTGCAGAAGTTTTTAAGATGTCTTTTCAATTATCAGATATTTATTCGAATTGTCATTCGAGGATGTACAAAACTCTACAAGGCTTACATGTCAAGATTTCATCATTTAGGAGTTATATAGATATTTTTTTTCTAGTAATTACTCTTTTAAAAAAAATACTTTATTACATTTTTTTCGTCTTGAATAAATACTATTCTTTCGACATTGTTTTAGAAAGTTGATTAAAATAGATTAGACAAGTCAATAATATACAATTCAATAAATCTTTATGTTCTTTTTCTTCTAATGTTGAAATTCATGTTTCTCTTTCTTGATTCTAATAAACATTATTCAGAATATTTAAAAGTATTTTCGTCACATATCATAAAAAACAGCTCTTATCGAACTTTTATTATTATGATGTTGTTTGAAGAATGCTAAAAAAACAGACTACTATTTTTACTATCAACATATATAGAAAGAAAATTTCCTCAATTATTCTATATGATATTGAAGTACAATTGCCACTACTTTTGATATTCTATAAGTATCATTTTTTTTCTTTACCTTGTGAAAGCATAGCTGCTGGAAAACTACCAACAGTAGAAACAGTATTTCCATTGGTACTATATGGATGTGGTGGACTAGGACTAGTTGTATCTGGTGCTGGATGTTGAATAACACCCATTGCTTGTGGTGAATTTTGTTCATCTACATAGTCTAGAAAAAAGAAAAGAAAAAAAAACACAACTTGATTAAAAATTAATATGAGAAAAATCGTTCTTGTTAACCTTTCATGTAACGATATCCATCCGGTGTTGAATATAGATCACGATCATTTGATGAGGATGGGTCACCATGACCAAGTAATTGAAAACGAGGTACAAGTGGCATTCCTGTTAAGTCTTTTCATATAGAAAAAAATTTGATAATTTATTAAGAAAATAAAAATTCTTTAAAAAAAAACAAACATTTACCTATTCCAGGTGAAACAACACGTTCATAATGATATGGATTTACTAGAATAATACATATATATATATACATGTTATGTAGTGAAAATAATTATTAATTTCGTTTACCACAAACATATTCTTGTTTAAGATCAAACGCTAAATGGCAGATTTTTAAATGTTTTAATTCATTTTTATGTAAATCTGGCCAACGCCATATACGAGCATAAATTA